AGGCGTCGGGGACGGTGAGGAATGCTGTCCTTCCCGGCTCTGAAGCGGCTCGTGGGGTGCGTGAGGGGAGCCCCGCATCCGCATGAATGAGGCCAGCGTCTCTGCGGGGGTGAGGGAGAGCAGGTGTGCGGAGCCCTAGAGATTTGGCTCTGCGGGAGATCCACGGGATAGGCTCCGGGAGACTCGATTTCTTGTTTCCCGTCGCTTATCTCTGAGTAACGCTTTTAAAAACACTAATAATGCGGAAAAAATTATGTATAAAATACAGCAGTGCCTTGTGGGAAGAGTTAGTCATCAGTTGAAAAGTAATGTTTTGCAGTAATGTGATCTCTTATAAGAGAGAGAAACTTAAGAAAACGTTACTGCGTGTGTTTTAGAAATTGTAAAAGCTTTTCTCAAAAAGGTGGCATACTTTTGGTCTTTTAAAATAAACTTAAATATTTAACTGTAACATAATGTCTAGTTTGTAAATAGAACGAATGTAACTGGATTGGTCCGTGCAGATCTGCTGAGCTCATCAGTGCTGTCAGATGGGCAGTGCGTGGATTGTGTTTGTATGTGTTCGTGCATACATGCGCGTGTCCGTGTGCATGTCAGTCTAACAAGAATGATGCTGTTTTTCTAGGTCCTCAATACTGAGTGAAGTGTCTACCCGGTCAAGATCTAAATTGCCATCAGGCAAGAATATTCTTGTTTTTGGTAAGTAACATATGCAAGCAGTTGGGTGGTTGGGGTTTTTTTTTTGTAGAAACAAAGCGTGTTTAAAACAATGATGTGAATGAACTGACACATCAGTTTGTTAAAATTAGGTTATGTAATATGACTTACGGTATTATTGTCTTCAGGCTGATAGATTTACTTTCTTTTTGGTTTAAGCTGTTAGATTTATAACATTTAAACAAATGGAATGTAATACAGAATAATTGTTTCGTTCTTATTGTCATGGTATAAGCCTGGTATTTAGCTGGAATACTTGAAAGAAAACAACAAATAAGCATGGTCCAAAAATGTACAAGGATACTTCTGATTACTTAAGTGTGTTTTGAAAAATGTTTTCTACAAAGTTAAAATTAATTCTGAAAGTGTCTTTTTTCCCTGTAAAAACTTACTGGCAGGTGATGATGGTTCAGGTAAAACCACACTTATGACTAAAATACAGGGAGCAGAGCATGGCAAGAAAGGAAGAGGGCTGGAATACTTGTATCTAAATATTCACGACGAAGACAGAGATGGTAAGTTCATGTTATATGTAATCTCCTTACTGTAATTAAGTAGCTGACATGGTTTTTTTTATAACTGTGGTTATCATTGGCATATTTTGGGTTTCGCCCAAGTAGCTGGTTCCAGCATTGTTCTGTATGTTTTAGAAGCTATACCAATTTCTTAAAAGTGAAATGCATTTTACATGCAGCATACGTTCTCCCTCTTGCCCTTCTTCACAGCTTGACCTGTGTATGAGGAAGAAGTACACTTGAGCAGCTCTCAGGATGCATTTACTTTTAGGGTAGATATATTTGCTGATGTTGATTTACTAGCAGATCTATTGTTGTTCAGTATGACTACTTGATAACTATAGAAAGTAAGCAATACATCCATGAGAATTTAATTCTTAGTATGGATTTCTGGGCCTGAGGTTTTGGTGTTTTCTTGTGAGGGCTGCGTGTGGAATTTTGGTTAACTCTGAGATGTTTTGTTAGAGTTGAATGAGTGAAGAACAGAACTTAAGGTCAGAATTAGTATTTCCTTTTCTCAAATTGAAGCTTGTCTCTTTGCCCCTTGTCTTTCTCTTTGTTGCTGTTGATGATTGCTCTTCTCTACCTTGTGGGAGGGGGATGACGACAAGAGACCGTTTAAAAGCAGGTCTAATGATCAGAATACTCTCATTTTTAGGAAGGTTAGGGACAGGAAGAGATGGGGAGTGAGTTTGTTATCCTTGCTCCTAAACGTGCCTCTGTTTGTCTCATTTTGGACAAACTGCTGGACCTCTTTGTGTTAGTTTCCCTCTTCAAAAACAGGGAATGACAGTCTTCCTATTCATGACTTCCTTCTGAGTGCTCAGTTCAGAAGAGGGAAGCAATGATGGTGGTTCATCCATGTTCCTGAAAACAAATGAACTAGGAAGATCCTATAATGGTATT